CCGTTCTGTAACCCAGAATCCTGAGTGAAGTCAGGGAGCTTTCTAGAGCTTTGGAAACCCTTTTATCCCTTGGAAAGTTTAGTTAGATCTTTATTTCTGACAAAGGACTCAGATCACCTCTGTCTTGTGGGAAAGAAGAAGAAGAAACTATTGTAGGTGGAAAAGTGAAAGCTTATATTGTTGCTGTTTGATTTCCCCCCATACCCTCATACTTTACATTTCTCACAAATTGAATCAAGACCTGAAGTGGGAGGCCTCCTAGGTGGGAGCAGTGGGAACTTGACAGAGCTTCTGGCTTTGGGTAGGAGGGCTCAGATCAGACTTCCCTGGGCTTTCAAGGTCCCTCCACACAACCAGCTTACTTGGCCCCAGGAACATTACCATTTACCCCAGTCTCCAGAGCAGGGCACGCCAGAGACCAGTGACTCACCTCTTTGTCATTGTAAACAGCATCTTGAGACCTTCCCTCGGGCTCCATCAGCTCCCCCCACCCCACCACCACTCCCACATGATATGCAAGGACCTGCCACGTGATGCATGGTGTGCTAGGTTTCCACCCCCCCTGCCCCGAGGTGGGGGTTGGTCCAACCTAAGGCGGGCAGGCGGGAGGCGGTGGGTTCTGCTCCCCCTTCTCGTGGTGGCAGCCAGAGCATTTTGCTTGAACGCTCCCAGTTCAGCTTCCTTGTCTGTCAAGTGGGCATGGTCCTGGCTCCTGGCTGCTGCGTTGTGCGCGTGACGACGGAGGCAGCAGTGCCGCGCTCAGCACCGGGAGCCCCTCAAACCAGACCGTGAGCAGTAGTAGGTTGTGGAGCTTTTGAACCCTTTCTGCGTCAATTTTTGTTTTGAAAAAAACATCTTAAGGCAGCAATAACAACAACAAAAAGCCCTCCATGGACTCTGCAGTGGAAAAGGTTATTTTTCACATTTACACGCGCACCTTACTCTGCATGTCTGGTACCATTCTGCTAGACCTGAAGATGTCCGTTGGTCCCCAGGCCTCTCTGAGGACTCCTGGTTGGGCCCAGAGCCAGACCCGCGGGAAGCCTCTCCTCCCTGCTGGAGCTGGCCTGTCTGCTTTTAGTGTCTTCCCCACGCAATGTTGCCTTGGCGTACAAGCCTCCAACGGCCCAGCCCGACGACGTCCCTGCATCTATTAGCGCTAATGTATTCTCTCTTGAATACTCATCATATTAAGGCTCCTGGTAGATAGATACCTTGCTGGAAAGAAATTTGATGGCATGCATCCTCTGCCTCATTCCCATGTGTGTGTGGCCGGCAGGAGAAATAGAGCCCTCTCTGTCCCCGGAGGGAAGGCCAAGCCACGCGTTCTGTCGCAAGCCTAGGCGGCCTCCTGCCCAGGAGTGGTGAGAACTGTCGGAGGCGGTCTCGAGGCTGCGCTCTCACGGCTTCACGTGTCTCTCCGGGGACAAACTCTGCTCCCAGCTAAGAGGCCCCTGGCGATAGAGCAGAGGGGGACCCGCTCCCTGGGGTGGCGGTGGGGTGGGGGGCAGTGCCGGGTCTGCGCCGGTGCTGCCCGCGGACCCCGAGCCCCTCCCCGCAGCCCCCGGGGCTCGGCGCAGCGTACAATCGACCGCAGGAAGCCCGGATCCTCGTCTGCCGGCTCGGCATCTCTTTGTCCTCAAATCCCTTCTCCAGCTGTTAGGGCTTCGCTTCCCATCCGGACAAAACGAGGTGCACCGCTCACCCCTCTAGCCTTTCTCGGGCTCAGCCACGGGCCTGGACTGGCAGACCCAAGCGAGCGGGACAAGCCTGCCCTCCCCGGCTCTGCAGGCCCCTTTTACAGACTGCGCCCTCACCCTCTCCTCGGAGGAGATTGGCCTGGTCACCTCCCACCAGCTCTGGTACTCACCCCTTTACTCCTGCCCATCGCTCTGCCTCGGCCAGCCCATTGGCCACCTCCGCTGGTACCCTGCCCTGGCCACTCCAGGCAGGTGGGTCCCTGACGGCCCCTGGGGAGAGGTGTGGGTGTGGTGTGTGGCAGAATCAGTTCAGCCTGTCCTGCAGGTGCAGTGTGACTGGCACTCTGTGGGCCTCCCTATGGGGGCAAGGGATTTCTGCCTGGATTCTGTTGGGGTCTCAATGAGAGAGACCCCCCAACTTCCCAGCTTGGGCCAGCCCTCCTTCCCCCAGGTGACAGTAGCAGCTCTCCAACAATCCCTATTATCCCACAGAGTAATAGCAAACCCTCTCTAGAATCTTTACAATTCTAGGGAGGCACCATGGTCATCAACCACCCTCCGTTTACAGATGAAAAGATGGAAGCAGAGAGCAGCTAAACGATTTGTCCCAGGTGGAAGAGCAGTCAGGATTCAAACCCAGCTAGTCTGCCTCTAGGATCCATGGTCCCAGTCCTGAGCCATTTCTACCCACTCTTGTGGAAATTCCTGTGGCCATCCACCTTGTGCTTCGAACTTAGACAGAACTCCTTAGGATTTGTCGGTGGGACAGTTTATTTTTCGAGATAGAAAACGAAAATAACCCCATGTGCACGGAGACAAATCAGCAAGTGTTCAGACCTATGTATCTAGCTGGGGTGATTCTGGGGGCTCCGGATGAGTTTGACTCTCCAGCAAATGCAGGAGGCTGCTGAGGGCTGGCGGGCACAGGTTGGAGTTGGACTTGAATTGGCAGGATCCAAGGGTGGGCGGAACTGGTGATGGCGTTGAGTGAATGTTCCAATGGCCTGCTGTGTATTTTAAACACAAATGCCTTTGCTTGTTTTTTGGGTGTTTTTGAATAATATTGCTATTGGCATATCTTACTAATTCCAATATATCCCTTCCCTTCCTGTACAGTTCTGTTGTTCAATCCCATCGGGTGGGGCTATACAATCATCAATGCTATCAACTCCCCCCACACACAACTTCGGGTACCCTCAGGGAACCCTTACTCCTGTCAGTGTCTCTGAGAGGTCTTCTATCTTGACTTCCATGTACCGAGTGATCTTAAGTGGAAAATGAGCAGACACAAGTCTAACATAACCAAAGAAGTATATCATGTATGGACCATGTAAGGTCCATGTAAGGGGCCCATGTAAGGGGAGGAGATCGTACAGAATTAGAGGATAGTGATGTGGTTCTTCAGTGCCACACCGCTCCCTGGATTTAGCCTCCATTCCATAAATACAAATCTCTTAATACTTGAGGAAGCCTTCTCTCTAGATAAGTTTAGCTGTATTAAAAACAATCCCTGCCCCCTCCTCCCCCCAGGGCTCTGAGACTAATTCACTTGTGTTAATATTTTTAAATTATATTACACCCACACACAGGATTTATGAGATTGGTTTCACTACTTTGTCCAGGGGGGGCTAGTGAGAACCCTTTCAAGGTGAGCGTGTCAGGAAGGATGGATGGATTCTTATTCAGTGGTAAACATCTGTGAGGTGAGCCTGCTGGCCCCTGTTCCCCTCTCACTTAGGCAGTGAAGATAAAAACTGAGAAAGGGCCACTGTGTTTCCCTCCACCTGGAGGAGGGGCGCTGGAAGAATTGGGGTGGGGGTGGGGATGGAGGTGGTGGGGGTGGTGCTGCAAAAGCAGATGTCTCCACTTTATCCTGGGCTGAGTTTTCCATTACCAAGGGGGAGCTGAGTCATTTTTTTTTTCCTGATAGAGGGGTGGTAGGCCAAATCAGTTTAGGAATCTCTATCTACACTGTCGACCATACTATGGACTAATCAGGATCAGATATGCGATTTGTGCTAGAGACCAGAAACTCCAGGGCAGCCTGTCTCCTGGTGTGCCTCTGCAGGGTGCTGATTGTACTCTCTTATGCTGTTGTTCTTACAATTTGTCCTCTTATTTTGGAAAAGTACAGAGAAAAAGGCTGGACCTGCTGGCACTATTTGTTCCTCCAGGGAAGCCTGGCCGTTTTGTAGATTTTGAAACAAATGTACTGACTCAACTATTCTCCAAACCACAAGCAATTCCTTGGTGAAGGTGGGTGACAGAGAACCATACCTTGGATAGGAACTCATCCAGGGCAGGGACGAGGGGAGGCAGCCGATATGGTTCCGTTACAGATGACAGAACCCACATTCCCTGTTTAGATATCAGGTGGTTTTCAGTGCAGTGGGACCAGCTCTGGCCGGAGCTACCAGCCCCACAGAATTGCATTGTGGACAGGCCTGGGGATGGTGTTGGGTGAATATCCCAATGGCCTGTTTGTGTGTTTTGGAAATAGCACTCAAATGAGAGATTCTCACCACAGAACCCGGTAGTCTCTGTCACAATCCAGACCAGCTTAAAAGGAGCTTGCCTTTCAGCTGTCCCTGAATTTAGCACACTCTGAATACATGCCTCTCCGAAGTGCAGTGTGACTGGCAGGCTCAGGGTTGTATTTTGAACCCTAGCTGCAAGGGAGTATGGGAGAGCGGTTTCTACCTTTCCAGTCTAAAACCTAGGCTGGCATATAAGGAGGGAATGTTGATTGTGCCAGCTCATGGTATTTGCTACAGCCCCTCAAAATGCTGGGATTCCCATGCTACCCAGCACCGTCAGGCCTGGACCTCAAGGCACTCCACCACCCCACCCCCGGCAATCCATATCACTTGCTTGGTAGACCAGATGGCTTCTCAGTCCATGCTAAGACAAGGCTCACTTTGGAGGCTGCTGGTTTTAGCACAAGCTCTGCCCAGTGATGAGACTGCCCCCCTCACGGCTGCGGTGCTGCAGCTGGCAAACATGGCATTGGCTGATGTTCCTACCTTTGTGGTGTTCCTGTACAGATTAGAAACAGGTGACCGCTTGGGGTCAAAGCCACCCCAAGCCAGAGGACATAGCCTGGCCAGTAAAGCTAGGGTTTGATTCCATTCCACCTGGCCCCTTGTGCAATGTCCAGCCTCTACACTGCTGCTGGAGGGTGTGGAGTAGGGGCTGCTGATTCGGTTCCTTCTCCCCCAGGGCAGATGGATCGCCACACACAGCCCGGTTTGTGAGCAGGCCAGGGAAGTCTCACGCCGCCTCTCTCCTTCCTTCCCACAGAGATTCCCCAGTGCGCTGGCTGCAACCAGCACATCCTGGACAAGTTCATCCTGAAGGTCCTGGACAGGCACTGGCACAGCTCCTGCCTCAAGTGTGCAGACTGCCAGATGCAGCTGGCCGACAGGTGTTTCTCCAGGGCAGGGAGTGTCTATTGCAAAGAAGACTTCTTCAAGTAAGTCTGCCGCCACCACTGGGGGAGGCTTGCATGCAGGGACGCAGGGTCCTGGCAGCCACGCAGCCCACAGAGGAGGGAGAATTCCGGGGATGGGATGATGCGCTTCATTCAGCGCCCCTTCCGGTCACCGTGCGCATTGCGCCAGAGGACCAGCTCTGTCGCAGGATTGCTGTGTGAGGGGCAGAGCAGGCAACCCCCCTACCATCTCCCAAAGCAAGAGCCAGATTTCACAGGGGCTCACGCAGGAACCCCGAAAATCCTATTAAGGAATCGCTCCGGCGCGGCTTGGCGACTTGGAGCCTCCAAGCACTGTTTCGCTCCGACGCACAGTGCAAGTGCAGTCCGTCCAGTGGTTGCGTCTAGCGGAGGAGTCTTGGGTGCTTGCCCTCTGCGCCAAGGGGCCTGGAGGAGCGGCTCCGTCTAAACGGAAGCAAGACCGAGATGCAGTTCTGTGTGTTTGAACCCACCTGCTCACTGGGCGCTTGAGCACTTTACTTGGCATCTCTGTGCCTTGGTTTGCTTATCTGTAAGATGGGCCTGACGATAATTTCTACCTCATAGGGCTGTTATTAACTTTACACGAGTTAATACATATGTGGTCCTTAAAACAAAGCCCCCCCTGGTTGAGGACGTCACCCCTTGATTAAAGCAACTTCCTCTCAAAAACAACAACAACAACAACAAAAAACCAAAGCCTAACTGCTAGCTCTTAAAGACTGTCTTGGATTTTTTCCCTTTTCTTTTCTTTTTAAGGCGCCCAGGTGGTTGGTTCTAGGTTGAAAACCACTGCTCCCTGGGAGAAAGATGGGGCTTTCTACTCCGGTAAAGAGTTACAGTCCCAGAAGCGCTCAGGGCCAATGCTACCCTGTCCTAAAGAGACACTATGAGTCGGCATGACTCAATGGCAGTGAGGTTTTTGTGTGTGTGTGCGTGTGTTTTAATTAAATATGGCACTCTGTTGTAAATTCTGTTTTTCCACTGAATATTTTATTTTTGCGACACTTCATATCCATACTGATCTACAGTGGCAACTGATGAATGAGTCATCCCATCATTAATTCATATGCATTGATATTAAGATGAAAGTATAGGAATTTTGCTATTTCGTCAATGAGGTAAACAAAAAATGTCTTTGATGAATGGGAGAACCATTTTGGAACTCTTGGGGGAGAAGTTGTTTGTTTTTGTTCTTACTTCATTGGAACTTGTGTTACGATGTAGAGAGCAGGTCAGTTTTCCACTCCACAATTCATACACATTTGTTTCTTGCCTTTGGTTGCAGCTCCACAATGTACCATCATTCATCCCACCTTCTCCCCGGTTTCCTTTTTCTCTTCCTCCATCTTTCCCAAGACTCTTCCCTTCTGACTGTCCTCTTTGGGAAAAGACTGCCTTTTTGATTCCAAAGGGCTGGCTATCCTAAGGCGTGCCTATTTCCCCTGTGTTACTGTCACTTGGTAGACCTCTTTCTTGTTTGGCTGAGCCACTTCCAGGCCTGAAGCGTGACCAAGGGCCATAATCTCTGGGGCTACAACAAGTCTTTCTTTACCTGACCAGAACGCTTGGCCTTATTTCAGATTTTGAGTTTTGTTTCACAGTTTTCTCCCACACTATCCAGGAGCAACTAAAGCAATCTCTTTCAGAGCAGCCAGCCGTGGTGGCAGGGCACCATCTAGCACTTCTAGTCTCAGGGCTGTGGAAGCGGAGGTTCATGTGATCCCTGAGTCCACGGAACTAATGGTTTCCACGCATCTTCCGTTTTCTTTACCCTTCTGTGATTCAGATGGGGAGGGGGCAATAGCTGCTCCTGAGATGACTGCTTTAAGACATCAGTCACTGCCCATTACAGTAGCCCTGAGTGTAGCAGGGCTGATTGAGTCACTGGTCCACACCTCTCCCTCGCCAGCAGCCAAGTCTCTCTCCAGTCCTCAATCTCTCAGCCACATGGCCCCTTGGCTTCTGCCTCTGTGGGCCAGGAAGCCAGCCCACTGCCCTGCCTCACAGTCGCACCGTCTCGGTGCTGCTCCTCTGTTCTGTTTCATGGTCTCCATGCCTAAGCTGCTGGTGTTGGCCTCAATTCTTTGGTCTGTCCCATGGTTTCTGTGCCACAGCCTCTGGTGACCCTGGTCTTGGCCTCTGCCACTGCAGACAGATTTCTAACGTGCTCCGTGTCCTATGGTCCTAGGGTCTGTCTTGGGATTGGATCCACCAGAAAAAAACACAAACAAACCAAACAACCGTTGGAACTGAGGGTACCTTTCAGAATCTATTTTCTGTGGCATTTAGTCCGACATTTCTCTCCCAGAAGCTGTTGCTTGAGGGGGACCAGACAGGAGGTGGGGGGTCCTCAGGCAGGGGACCCTGAGGCAGCCCTAGTGGCCACACGGAGGATTAAGAGTGGGGCGGAGACCAAAGGGAAAGCTTTGGGGGACTGAAAACTTTTGGCAAGAACAACCAAGCCAAAAAACAAAACAGAAAAAAAGAACGATTAAGCCCCAGAGAAGGACTGCACTTCTGCCACCAGAGGAAGATGTGGCAGTTTGCTTCCGGACACTTCCTAGCCTTGGATCCCCTGAGGGACGATTCTCCTCCATCAAGATGAGTCGGTCAGACTCCACTCAGCCTTGGCTTTGTGTGCGGATGCGTCCACTGGAGGCAGTGAGGAAATGTGGAACTGCAGATAGAAAACACGATTTCTCCCCAATCTTCTGACAGGGTGACCTATAGGTAGGCTGCCTTGACTGTCTGAGGAGTCCCAGATTGCTCCAGTCCAATGAGTTGTGAAGCATGCTGACGACAGCTGTGAGCGACATCCTTGGCTGTGTTCGGAAGGCTGCCGATCACGCTTTGGTCATATATGTATGGGACCTGTGTGTGTGTGTGTGTGTGTATGCACCTGATGTGCACCCAGTGAGGGTAGACCGTAGCTAACACCACCATGCTCAAAAACCCTTGATGAAAAGCATTTGGACACTTCCTCAAGCAGTCCTCCTCCTCTCTTGTTTTCCTCCCTCTGATTCCCACCTCTTCCCTCGATTCCAGCATTTAGAATTCTGTCCCTCCGCCCGCAGCCTCTCTAGGGAGCAGTGATAAGAGCAGTAAGAGTTTGGTCCCACCTAGGTCTGGCAGACCTCTGCCCTCAAGGGTGTCCTGGCCAAGCCCTGGAAAGACCCCAAATGGGGTGAATCTCAATGTGTGTCTGTGGGTGTGCCTGAGCACACATGATAGAGTCCTCAGAACTCGTAAGAATGAGTTGGTCCAGCCTGCAGGTCGGGGCATGCCCAGATGAGCAGGCAAAGCCCGCCAGTGCCAAGGCCCCAGAGATTGATCCCTAGAGAAATCCCCTGGTTCTCAGCATCGCCCCAGACCCCCATCTGGTGTTTAGACCCTGACTAGCGGCCATCAGGAAAGAGGGTTTCCAGAGGCCCAGGAGAGACCCAAGGTGGGGGCTGGGCAAGGGTCACAGTAAACCCATTGTCCTTAAACACAGTATTAGAATTAATAATACAGCTTGGGTAGGGCCGTTGGTCAGCCCCAGTGGCGACCTGGCTCAGCCAGCATAGTCTTCTCAAACCTCTGCCCAGGTGGTATAGTAGGCTACTTTTTGGCCGGTTAACTGGAAGATCAGTAGTTCAAAATCACCAGTGACTCCATGGGAGAAAGTTGAGGCTTTCTACTCCTATAAAGAGCTAGTCTTGGAAATCGACAGGGGCAGTTCTACCTGCTCTACAGGGTCAGAACTGACTCAATGGCAGTGAGTTTGGTTTTGAATTTGGTTTTCTCCCCAGTTACTTCCTGATTGATCCCTGCTATCTGCCCCCCCCCAATTGTTCACACTGCTCCCCGACAGCTGAGCCCTCTCATCTCCCACCTTGGGCCCTGTCCTCTGCCTTCCGTCTCCTTCAACAGGGCCTCCACAGCCAGCAGGAGGAGGCCTGGCCCATCAGCCCCACCGGAACCTTCCAGAGCTGTGCTGGCCCTCCTTCCCAGCCTCCTCCCGAGCTCTTGGGGCCCCTGACTATGGACCTGGTTCCTGGCAACTCAATCACAAGGGAGGATTCGCCCTGGCCCAGCGGCAGCTGCATGAAGGGGCGGGAGCATTGTGACCCACTGGGTTCTCATTGGCTGATTTTCAGAAGTAGACAGACCGCCAAGCCTTTCTTACATGGCTGTCTTAGTCTGGCAGTTCCACTGAAAGCTGTTCTCTCCATAGCACTTGTCAGACCTGGGCTCACTAATACTATGCTCCCCTCCAGACATGCTGGTGGGGTAGTGGGTTATACCTCTAGGGTCACTGATGGCAATGAATGACCTCCACACCCTGGTCCAGGCCATGGATGCTCTTCCTGCCACATCCGCCCTTTCACATTCTCCCCATTTTTCCAATGCTGCTCAGAGCCCAGCGCCTGGCAGATAGGGGGTGGGGGTGGGGGTGGGAGCAGGGCCGGATTACCCTGGAAGCAAGGTGAATATGTACTTTCTGATTACTCCATGTTGTTAGTGCCATTGAGTCAAAGCAACAACAGAACAAGACGGTGCCCAGCCCTGGGCCAGCCCCACAACTGTTGTTAGGTTTGAGCCCCGTGTTGCAGCCGCTGTGCCAGTCCATGTCGTTGACGGTCTTCCTCGCTTTCACTGCCGCTCTACTTTACCAAACATCCTTTCCCAAAGACCGGGCTCTCCTGACCACGTGTGCAACTACCCGAGACCAAGCCTCACTTCTGTTTCTACTAAAGCTACAGTGGATAATTCCACAATTATTTTCCACATGGCAAAGATGCCACTTCTCGCTACGGCGGGCCTCTGCCTCTCTCTCAGTCTCACAGCACCTGTCTACAGAATCAAAGCCTCTTTTCAAGTTCACAGTCCCTGGCAAGGACAAAGAACCCAGTAAGCAAGGTAAACACGCGTTTATTTGTGTATACTTACTATAGTGAACAGTTTCACATGTTTTCAGCAACTGTGAAACTGCTTACTGCAGATCAGTAAGCACTGGC